ATATATATACAGTATATATATATAATATATATTATATTAAATATATATTATATATATTATATTAAAGTACAAAAGTATTGGCATAAAAAAATATGCTTAAAGTACCAAAAGTAAAAGTATTTATTATGCAAATGTTCCCAATCCAGAATAATGTATGATATGTTTTAATTATATTATCAAAGCTGGTAAAGGTGCAGCTACTTTTATTTACTTTGTAAGGGTAACTTGTGGATGTTACTCCCTGTGTAACTAAAGTCTTATTTAAGTGTTGTTTAAGTTACTAAATATATTAAATAGATGAAGTGGAGTAAAGGTACACGATTTTAAGTCTGAATTGTAGAGGGGAAGAAGTACAAAGTAGCAAAATATTGAAATACTCAAGTACTTGAGTAAATGTAGGCCTACTTAGTTACTTTACACCACTGGTCGCTCTACTCACCTTAATGGCTATGATGCACTCAATGGTGCTGAGTCTCCTCACGCAGGTGAAAGCAGGAGCTTTGGCTGCGAGGGCGACGCATTTTTCCAGCTCTTTCTCCGACTTTACGCACCATTTCACCTTGTCAGTGGGGACCGCGGACACAGCGGCTGCAAACATAGATACACGGGTAAATAAATACCAATGCAGAATCATTGAGCTTTAGGTAAATCTGTGATTAAACGATGTACATGAATATGAAATGTTTTTTACCCAGGGATCCGAGCAGCGCCACAAGGAGGAGAGTCTGCATGTTGAGTCTCAGGTCAGAAGAGCGGAGTGTGCGGGAGGCAGCCGGGGATTTTATAGCAAACCTCTGATCGGCAGAAAAAAAATGTGCTCAGGTTTCCTAATGTGTACGTGCTTGGGCGCGTGAGTGTTTGTACTTTAGTTTGCTGCTACGAGAAAACAGAGGGGGTTACATTTCCAACATTTCCACATAATGGAAATCCACAGATCCCTCTATTTGTATTGCTATGATGTAACTATTTAAATGTCAACACTTTAATCTGAAAATGTTTAGTGTCTTCATGTCCTTTGGGGTTTATTCCAACTCTATTTGGTCGCCTTTCTAGTTGCCCTTTGAGGACAAATACATTGACAGATTTTTTGAATAATCAATCGATAAAGACTGGCTTAACCAGGCTTTACAGATTGTAGGTCCTTACATATAAATACAAGAGAAAATAAGTAAAGTAAGCTAAGTAAAGTGAACTGATTAAGACTGAAAAAATGTATAATTTATCTAATGCAGAACAAAATTAGCGTTATATTTATTTATTAGTATTATAAGCAGTATAAACCAGTGCACGAAGTCAAAATAATCCATTAGAAGTCAAATCCTCATATATCATGTTATTGTTTAATTCTAATAATATCTTAAATGTGTGAGCTGCATTAAACTCCTGTATTGTAAAGGTTAGCTCCACCAAGTGGTCTTGGTGGAGCTAACCTTTACAATTGTTTATAATATTGATGACATTTTACCCATGAATAATACTACGCTACGCCAAAAGCATTTTCAGTATTGGGATAGAAGTATACAGTTGCATGGAAACTATTAAATAACCTCAAAACTAAAACCTAAAAAGACCTCCTAAATTAGTAATGGGCTGTGGGTGTCCTAGCCTCCTGCTTTATGAAGAATAGGACATGTATTGTAAACCTGAATATATACACTATATTTAAAGTAATTCAGCCAATTCAGGGGACCATGGGACTCACATCAGTTAGCATCAGAAATAAAAAGGCAAACGTTTTTAAAATGATAATTTAAGCTGCAGTGTGACCCACTTACTTTAAGAGTCGTGTTTACAGAGTCAATGTTACACAACACAAGATCGAAGGTTCATGTTGAGCTACACCTCCCTTTTTGGTCCTATCTGCCAAATATTGAAAAATCACCCAATAACCTGTTGTATGCCGGGATGGTTAAACTTTAGAAGATCCAATACTGGACGAGTGCATAGATTACATTTCCACTCATGGATTTAGGCATATATTCTTTAAACCTTTAGTTTAGATAGATAGATATGTTTGGCAGAGTTTTAAGCTATGAAGTGATAGCAAAACACTTGTCCAGCAAAATAGAAATGTTAAAAAACACAACACAGAACGTTTTATACTATAACAAATTAAACTATATTGCATAGTTGAATGTTGATCAGGTGCCCAGATGTTCCTCAAATTGGCCTTTATGGTGAATCATAGGCTATGTAACCCTGACCTGACTGTCACCCTATACCACGACCTGACTAAGTCCTTGTTTCCACCCTCGTCCTCAAGATGAACCTTCTGTCCACACTATTGTAACACATGAGTTAATTTAGGCACGTAGACTGTTAAAAGAGGATATCAAAGGAGTGACTGTAGTGCACATTATACCTGAAAATAGATTCTTGATGTCATGATTTCTCAGATTCCTGTGCAGATTTGGATTCATTTGAAATGTAATCAGATACTGAAAATGAAATCCAAATAAATAAATAAATAAATCCGTCACGTACTGTAATCCACAAAGCAGTTCTGTCTCGAACAACTGGAGTAATGTGTAAAGTGTAAAACTTCAGGGATGTTGTTTCTTTTATGTATTTTTTATTCAAAAGCCACATGGATGGTGGACATAGCTCCTGTAACAGAAAAGCCACAACTTTGTAAAATATGTGCTCAAGGGGCTATTGTTTAATATAATATACATCATATTTAAATTACACAGGGTAACAGGATTGGTTATTATAAAAGGTATAATCCTTTTTTTTTTTTCAATAATCCTTGACGATGCATCTGAAACCCATTTTTTTGCAAAATGTGATCTTGGCTAATTATAGTTACTTATTTTTTGTATTCTAATTGCGTTATGCGGATGATGTTATTTGTTGATGATAACATATAAATAGATTTGATTATTTTCTTTCTTACTGTGCTTTGTTGATTGCCATTTTATTATTTATTTATCTTTCTTTTCTTTGTTTTGTGCCTGATCATGTCCATACATCTTCAGCCCAGTTTTTGATCTTTCGTGCTTTGTTTTTAATACCTGCATTTACGTTATTTTGGCGCTTTGACTGCTGAGAGTTTTTGTCTCTCATTATCTTCCGTGGGTCTGGATTTAAATCCTTATCCCTGAGGCAGATGGCTGTGCTCTGTCAATCTGTGTTGACACTTCAGCACCATAACTGTAATCACACCTCTTGATAACACAGCCACAGCAAGCCAAAAGCATTACTGTCCTATACTCATGCACAGCTTCACATTCCCTGCATGCTACCGGGCAGAATTTCAGCAATCGAATTTCATACGAATTAAAAAAAACTAATTTAATTTAGGAAAGAAAAATGATTTAGCAAACAAATATTTGTTGTTGTAAACAATGATACGTTTTGTTCAGGGCTATAAGTAGATTCTTATATTTTATGAAGTTTTATGTCACAGCTTCCTGAGTACCTCTGGGAATCTCGTGACTGACCACTGTCAGACAGTGATTACAGCCTCGAAGACGTCCTCACTGTGAGAAGATAAGCTTATTATCAATGATAGTTCTTCTAAACATGCAGAGCAGGGGGTTAACAGGGCATTATAGGTTGGACATTACACACAGACTCTCAGCTTGTGATGAAGGGCTCTGTGTGAGCGAGCAAGCCTCAAGTAAATGTTTTCATCGTAAGCTTTCTGTTAGCATGCACTCTGCTTTTACATCTTGCAATATACACAGCATCACCTTTTACGTTGTTACGTTTTACGTGCAGGGCTCCGATAACATTTTCTGAAACAACTTGGGATAATCAGATGTAAAATGTTGGTACAAGTGTAAGGGACATTGTGTCAGCCAGTGATGTTTCACCTTGATACTCCCATATAATCAGGGGTGCACATAACTTTTTTGCCCTGGTTCTCAAAGGAGCACCTGGAGATGTTGCTTGGTGCGCATCCTTAAAATGAAATAAACCGGACCTTTTGAGTGGTACTTGACTTTATGAACAGGGGGGGGGGGGCATACAGCAGACCCTTCACGCGATAGCGAGGGGTAGAGCGAGGGATCACAGATGCCGTGGTGCTCGTGCACGGATTAAAACAANGTGAGTTCCCTAACACACCGGGGACGCATATTCATGTATAAAAGATGTACGAAAGTGCATTTTGCATGATAGGTCCCCTTTAAGGGAACTTTGGTGGATAATCCACCAAAGTTCCCTTAAAGGGGACCTATCATGCAAAATGCACTTTCGTACATCTTTTATACATGAATATGCGTCCCCGGTGTGTTAGGGAACTCACCAATTGTCAGAAAATACAACCCTCTCTCTTTTCCCCCATACCCAAATCTCTAAAAACGGGGCTGCAACGGATCTGATACAGACTGATCCAGATTTGAAATATCTCTGACGTCAGAAACGGGTAGCTCCGCCTATATGGGCAACTCTCCACCTATCAGGGGAATGAGAGGTTGCGTGGCATGGTAACACGGCATGGTAACAGCATGGTAACAGCATGGTAACATGACGCTCGTGCCTCGCTCCCCTGCAAAGCTGCAGCTCATTTGCCACAGAATCAGCCCTTGTGAAAACAGGGCTGGAATAGAGCAAATAGAGCGAAATGAGGCATGGCTAAAATGCGTGATCGTGTTTGAAATTTTGAAAAAAAACCTTCACAGACATGTTTTGTATAGGTATGGCCCTACAATATATTATTCAAATACAGCATGATAGGTCCACTTTAAGAAAGGCACTGAGCCTCCAACCTACTCCAGTGTTGCCTTGGTCACGCTCTGTTATCTCAATATGAGCAGTAGACATGTAGGGGGGCAGCTCATGTCTGTGAGCATTCAGAAGCCCATGAAACAATGATAAATAAAATTCAATTTCCTTTGTGTGCACCGGCAAATGAAATCATCTTGCACAATATTCTTTTCAATTGACTGTGTCCCAGGCTAAGAGAATATCATTGCTCATTTGGTTTCTGTGCTGAAAAATTGCCTGTGTGCTGTTGTTTTTCTCTTGCTAACTTAATACTCTTTCTATTACAGCCATTTCAGTTTCCAGTCACCCCTATTTCGGCCGAGCGGATGATGAAGATTCAATGTAAGGGCTTAGAGTGTAATTTCTTCCTCCTGCTGAACCGTGTGTCACTATTCTACATTATCAACGACTGCACTTTCAAACAAGAGTCTAATTAGCATTCTAATTGGTGAAAATAAGAAGAATATTCTCGGCCTGTTGTTTTGCTGAGCCGAAACTAAATTATTGAAGCATCCTACTTTTCAATTCAGGACATGAAAGTCAGGTTGGACTCGAGGCAGGCAGGTACATGACAGCAGTATTTACCCATATTTGATTGTCTAAATGGATTTCCCTGAGTTTGCACTATTGATCAGCGTCCCAATATAATGAGTGTTTACCCTGAAGGTGGCACAGAGGTCCATTGATTCTACCCCACTCCCCAAAATGAGTTTATTTAAAATACTCCACATTCTCTTTTGAGAGACCCAGACTACAGAAATAGTGCTTGCGTGAATGTATGTAAGCAAACATGTGTGTGTACTCAAATCAAATAAGAGTGGATTGAGGAAAGCTCTCGTCTCTCTAGAGCTTTATTAGCACTAACTATTTCCCTGTGTTGACTGACCTATTGGATTATATACATACTGCACATTTCTTTATGTGTATGGTAGGCCTATATACAGAGCTGTTAGCCTGCTTATACTGCAGCGAATGCAAATCCACAGTCATCCTTCTGTGATATTTTGCTTCCTCACCTGATTTATTCATTTGTACTGAGCTGTGTTAAAGATACAACAGGGTTATTGCTTCAAATGTCTTGACTCTCACAGTGTGGTAGCTTTTGCCCATAAGAAAGACAAGGGTATACTGGACATACTGCTAACAAACGTGCTCAGTAGCCTCTGCTGCTGCTGGCTATCCTCTGTTGTTACTGCTGCCCTCAATCGCCCACCACAAGTCCCTCTCTGCTGTTCTCTCTCCTTCCTACTCAGTCACACTGCCAGCCTCATCCTCTTTTCCTGCCTCATGCAGTTTCTATTTGGTCGGTGGTGAGGCGAGAGGTAGAAGTAGTCCAGCAGTTTGTAAGATGGGAAAGACAGCATTGGAGGATTAACAGGTAGCTGCATCAAGAAAGTTTGAATGAGTGCACTGGGTTGAAGAGCAGCTGAGGGATCAAAGCCTCAGCTGGGTGTCTGGAGTTTTGTCTGGACAAAAAGCTGCCAGCTCACAGCAACACCACCGGCGCACTGAACATACAGCAGTGTGAAGTTGTTCTTTTAAACGTCGCCATTTGTTTTGTTTGCAGTTATTATCTTGTCAGAGGCGCGGCACAAGCATCTCTTTTAACAAAGCTGTTTGTCATTAATGGAATTCCATTTATTGTGAGCCACTTCAATAGTTCAAATGAGTCAGGTCTCAGCAGGGAACAATATGATTGTTTGTAGGAGGGCTCCTAAAATGGGCCATTGTTTTCAGATGGGATTTACAGCAGCTTGCCTCCTTCAAAGTGACTCAGTACAGCAGAGAATATTCAATTGTTGTTGTTCTTGGATCTAAACCTGTAGCTATTGTAGCATTTAAAAAGGACAAATGATGGTCTGTTTTAGCGAATGTCTCTTAAAGCCTCCCTGCAAAGTTATTTGTTAAGTCGTGGGTGGAGATACTCTGATGGGGGCGGAATATTTGAATAAGCCTCATTGTGACATGAGATCCAAACTAAATGTTTGTTTCATCACATGTTTTCTGATCTAGAAAAAACCCTGAAATGTGTTGGTTAACTGAACAACACAAAGACTGTCAAATAAGACAAGTGTTTTATATATTGTCCCCTTTTAACAAAAAACACAATTCACCCAGCACGAATCTAATGGCCATTAGTAGAATTGATGTGGTTGAATGCTAATTCTCTAATTACGGACATATCTGGTAATTAATGATGCCAGTGTTGTCATCTGAATGACCCTATTGTTTTCCCTTACAGTATCCAGGGAATGCTCCAGATCATGGTGGCTATGTGTGTGCTGACGGGCTATTCAATCACCACAGCCAGCTTTGCCATCTACGAGGTCAGCGAGCACCACAGCGGCTCCAAGAGGCTCCAGCACATCTCTGGCATCAGTGAGCCCATGTACTGGACTGTGAACTTCTTTTATGACATGGTAACGTCCCTCAATCAGCTAACAGGAGACCCACATTGACATATTGTTTACTCTTTTCTTCTTGATGATAAAATGGGTTTGAATTTGAATTGAACATGTCGTCTAAGGGAAGTCTAACCCTCAAAATCTAAAAGCAAAAGCAAACATTTGTGAGATTTATTTGGGCCACGTAACAATAATTTTAGATTGCAAAAATGCAAATATAGTGATTCTAGTGTTAACTTTTATCTTCTTGTGAGCATGTAACCCTCATTGGGCCGGGCAGCTGACAAACCATTCTCAATGTGTACTTAATGAATTTATTGCTCAACATATTTTTATATCGTTAATACAAGATTGATTCATAATTTACATGTACATCGTTTTTATTTGCCCTAATGTTGTCTCATTGTGTCCTATCTCTTCCTACAGGTCATGTATTTGATCCCTGTGACCTTGACTGTTGCTGTCATCGCAGCCTTCCAGATTCCAGCGTTCACAGAGCAGCACAATCTGGGTGCTGTCACCCTGCTTCTGGTTCTCTTTGGGTGAGTTATTTGGCTTTATCTGTGAGTCTTGCGCAGCTTAATAGCGTACCACGTGCTGGATTTACAAAGTGAGTTCATGGCATGTTTGGTCCTTTTGCCTTGTTGTTGCACTAAGTGCCACTTTTGGTCAATAACATTTTTGACCCAAAGTGATGTGATGATGAGTCAACCCACCATGAGGCTGACGCATCGGGGTTATTCAAGGGCTTCAACTGTACTTACTTTTTCAAATTCAGCTGTTTGCTGCACCTCAGGCGAATGGTTTAATGAGTTATAAAATAGCACTCTCTTAAAAAAAATTCTACTCGGCTTCATTTCACCATCCTGGGTGAGTGGTTCAGAAATAAAATAGGTATTTATAATATGTAATATATATAATGAGAGTTGAACTAAAACACACGGCCAAAGGTAAACAAAATCATCTATCACATGCACCCTAAAAGACCAAAATACAACAAGCATATATTAAGGATGGTTTGTTAATCACAGCACAGCGTAGAAACAAGCTTACAGTTGTGCCCGATTAAATACCCCTTTATTTGATAGTAGATTAAAGTGGGTGCATCAATGATGTTGGTTATAATCCAAACGGCACAACTACTTAAAATAGGTCAGAAATAAGTTGGTCTGTCAAATGATGACAGACAGTTTTACTTTTCAGCAAATGATTTGATTAACCTCTGGGTTTGTTTTCAACATCATCTGACTGCTTTTGTTTATACTCTGATCCAAGTGACAGCATCAAAACTCATTTGATTTAGCCTCATTCTGCAGCCGGGCAATGATCCTCACCGATAACCTAAATGAATATGTTCAAAAGCATGTCCTCATCACATGCACGCTTTATTTTCAGTTTTACTCTGTGTGCCACCAGGTTAGATTTACAGCACTGAGCATACGGAGGCTGTTGCCTTTCAAAAGCAAACACAGCTCCATTTGTCAGAGTCTCTTGCAAAGACAGATGGTTGTAGGACTGAAAGGCTGATAGAGAAATCACTACTAACATGTTTATCTTATTCAAGCCAAATACAGTAGAGAGGCAGGGAGGGAGGGTGGTCAGGATTCTCTTCGTAAAAATATGACTTTACAATAAGAGAAGGAGATTAATGCAAAGGTTCAACACCGATGCAATGCCATGTTTCCCCACATCTGATTACTGAGATTATTTACATCAAATGTAGCTCAAACTTTGTCTCCTGTGTTTCCTGTTGCTGCCTCATCCTGGGCCTTAGATCTTACGAGGCCAAGTCAGCACTCTGCTCCTCATTTATCAGACAGATGTCTCCCTCCCAAGCAATGAATAATCGCAGTCTGTCAGGCGGCACCCACCTGGTCTGGTCTGCAGCCTCCTTGCTTCTGTTCCTTGTCATGGCTTGGCACCCGCGGTCTGCCTACCAAGCACCTTTTTATTTTAGGGCATGGCACACAGATGCTTTGTCTCTGTCTGCCTCTATGTGTTTGTCTCTTCCTTTTCCCAGCCTACTTTTTCCTTCTTCATTTCGTTTGCCCCTCCTTCGCTTTCCCTCCTTCGCTTTCCCTCCTCTGCCTTGCTGACCCAGACACCCCAATCAAACGAACAAGCCGATGATGTGTTAGTAAGGAGAAAATGAAAAAACAGGAAAGGGATTTTCTGCCAACAGGGGAATAAAGGGAGAAGTAATTTATCTTCCTCTATTTTGGCATCATGACTAAATGTTTATCCTCCTCATTGTGGTATTTTTCCTCCCTCCCCTTTTCAGTATTCTTTGGTTCAGTATTCTTTGGTTTCCTTTTTTTCATCGGGCTCACTGCTGCTGTGTTCAATCTCTGAAAGGCTTGAACCAATTCAGTTAGAAGGTGCAATTGTGAGGACTGTATGAATTTTCCTTATCCACTTTAAGTGTGTTTGTGGGTCTTCCTGCATTTGGAGGTAGCCCAGCCAGATCTCTGTGTGTGTGTGTGTGTGTGTGTGTGTGTGTGTGTGTGTGTGTGTGTGTGTGTGTGTGTGTGTGTGTGTGTGTGTGTGTGTGTGTGTGTGTGTGTGTGTGTGCGCACTATGTGTAGCTATTTTTGCTTGATGTTATGTTTAAAGTATCCTATCACTGTCACCTCCTCAGGTTTGCCACCTTCCCCTGGATGTATCTGTTGTCAGGCATCTTCAAGGATGCAGAGATGGCCTTCATCGTCTATGTGTGCATCAACCTCTTCATCAGTATCAACACCATCATGTCCACCTCCATCCTGTACTTCCTGAGTCAAATTTCATCCAGAAACTCTGAGGTCAGCTTAAACTGCCTGAGTCTAGAGGCCTCATATTAGCAACTGAATATCCGAAGTAGATACATGCAAACTTTGACTGTGGAGTCGCAGGAGGTGAGAAGAGCAAACAATTCTGCTGACGACAATGAGAAGATTCAAATCCTGTTACTGTCGAATAGTCTTGAATTTGCCAGCTCTATTTAAGACACATACCTGTGTAAAATGCCCTTGGTGTTTTTTTACAAATTGAATCAGGCTCATCCTGTCTTTTTAGAAAGTTTTAATTGACAATAATCTAATCTTTTTTTTTTCTTATCTAAAAAATACGAACTATTTGAGTAAAGTTATTTTTGAAACATATGGCATTTATCACCTTGTTTTTTTTACTCCACTGCGGTTTATGTCAGTTTTAGATTAAACTCAAGTCAGTAAGTCACTCTGAATCCTCCTGACTGAAGGAACTTCAACATTGAAAAAAAAAACGGCCTATACTATTTGGTCTCCTCCTTATTGTCATCAAAACTAAACATTCAAGTTTCAGTTAAACTAACTGTAAGACTCATCTCTTCTTATCAATTATATTGCATGTTCATATAGTTATAGTTTTTCATGGAAAAAGGGAAAAAGGAATTTCTATTTATAGTTTAAAAAACCTCACCCACTCTTCTCAATTTCTTCTGTTTGGTCCTTTGCTGCTGCAGGTCATCCAGGAGGTCTTCAGGAGGCTGAGTGAGGCCTTCCTGATCTTCCCCCAGTTCAACTTTGGGAACGGGCTGATGAAGCTGGCCAGGATGAACATCGAGGTCCAGCTGCTCAGTGGCTACGGCATCGACGCCTATAAGAACCCGCTCTCCATGGACGGCCTGGGCTGGATGTTCTTCTCCTCCTTCATCGAGGGGGTGGTCTTCTTCGCCCTGCGCCTCCTGCTCAACAGGCTCCTTATACGCAAAGTCAGGTGAGTAACCAGAAGCCTTAGATGGTATGATGAGAATCATAATAAACTCCTCTGGTACACACATATCTCTGGCAAAAGCAATATCATTATTGAATAAGCATGAAAGTCTTTACATTAATTTAAGAAAACAATAACAAGGTCAATTAAGTGTTTATTTGTATTCAAAATCAACAAAAATAAAACATTTTGGAAAATGAAAGCCAGACATATTGGACTCCAAAGAGTTCACTTAAGTTAAAAAAAAATAGCCCCAAGTCTCAGACTATCACAGATTGTATCTGTCTGCCAGTTTTACACAATAACTTCAACACCTAGCAGTAAAAACATACTTTTCACTTTTGCAGGAATCTGATTTTCGGCAGAAAGACGGTGCATCAGGTGCCTCAGGTGCCTTGCGAGACCGAGGATGAGGATGTGGTGGCGGAGCACCAACGGGTGTCCAGTGGAGCAGCCAGCACCGACGTGCTGCAGGTCAACCAGCTGACTAAGGTCTACCAACAGTTCAATAAGAAGCTCCCTGCTGTCAACAAGATCTCTGTGGGCATCCCTGCAGGAGAGGTGAGCCTTGTTCCTATAGGAGGAACATAAACTAACACAACACACAATTAATAAAGTCAGCAGCAAATGTAAAGCGACATTGTTAAATTAGTGACTATTGTCAACCTCTTTTGACAACAGCATGAACATAATCACCAACAATATCAAGTGTCCTGCTTAAGAGTTGAAGATTCTGGTCATGTTGTGCCCAGATGAGTCAATAATTCACTTTACAGTTCACTGCACTCATCACAATTCACAGTTGAATTTCAAACTAAAGGAAACACAATTTGTGAGCCCTATTGTCTGCTATAAAAACGACTTACATATAAACAAACAGAAATCAATGCTGGTTAGAGATAAGTAACACCAGGGCACTTCATCTTCCACTGAAGGTCCGTCAAAGATTTAATGTTGAATTTCTCTCAAAGTCTCTTTTCTAACCAATTTCATTCTCATCTTTAAAATGAACAACATCTACATTTATACATGCAACATTCTTACTACAGATAATCTGTAATCAATGTTTTCTTTCCAAAACAATTTAGTTAATTTAGCCCCTGCTATAGTGGAGGCGTTGCTAGAGAGAACATCACATAAATCACCAGGTGGCTTTGACAGTGTGTGTGTTTGTAGTAATATATTGTTATTGTTTGTTCTTATTAAAGCTGTCCAATATTATTTAAAATCATATTCCTCTTTGTGATGGCTGGATAAATGAAGGGTACCACCTATGTGTTTCTCTGTTTTCCTTATCTATGGGAACTTAGGGAAATCATAACACTATGGTACTATATAAGGGACAAATGCCTCAGGATTACTGAGCAGTGTGTGTCCAATTACAGTGTTTTGGCCTTCTGGGAGCAAACGGAGCTGGAAAAACGACCACCTTCAAGATGCTGACAGGAGATGTGAGCCCGACGGACGGCACCGCACAGATCAGGGACCGGGATGGGTAAGCTGATCATGAATTCATTTATTATAAACTTCAGCAGAGCATGACATCTTAAGAACTTGTGTTTAGTGCCTCTTAACTTTTGAGTAAAACTATCGATTTGTTTTTGCCATCCCTTTACTTCAATATACTTTACCTTGTATTTATAGTCAGAAATAAATCTTACCTGTACACTGAACACATCAATGTGCCAGGGTTATGTAACAGTACAAAAATGCTAATTTCCCCCAAAATATATTTTATCATTTGTTATGGTTAAAGCTTTATAGTCACTGGCAGCAGGCCATATTCACCCTGTTGCTTTCCCTTCTGTTGACACACTGAATGCCCATTCCTAAATAAATCAAGTTAAAAGTTGTTTACTTAAAAAATATCCCTGCCAGCTTGAAAATGTTTTATGAAAATTACTTTAGAAAACACGACAGAAGCAATCACAGTACAAAGATTTGATTCAATTTCTAGATGTGCCCAAGCTACTCCATCTAATGAATCCTAGATGAAATTAGCAAATATCCACAAATGAGGGACGTTATTGCCTCCCATCAGCGAAGATGTGAACATAAACGATTTGGGTTTTAGCGAGTAGCAGCTGTGTTTCATATCAATATCTCAGAATCTCCTATACAGGTATCAACAACGGTACTTGTGAGCTCCTTTTAAAAGCTCCGTGTTTAAGATGGGTATTCCCAGCAGGCAGCAGAGCCGTAGAGCACCCTACATGTCCATCTGCCCTACACCATGTGCTCGAGACCATTAAAGAGAATGTGTCTTTGTCTTTTTCTCCCCCAGGCGCTTGGTAGACATCATGGAGTGCCGAAACGAGGGAATTAACATCGGCTACTGTCCCCAGGTGGATGCATTGGACGATCTGCTCACAGGAAAAGAGCACTTATATTTCTATGCTCGCATTCGAGGCATCTCAAAGAAGGAGATAGACGGGGTAAGGAAACGCTGCACACTGTGTTTTTTCAAGCTCGGGGTAGTGACAACAGCATTTACAAAATGACACTGGATCTGATGTAAATTCATAGGTGCACCCCCACTGCAGGACTGGTAACTGTTGATGCTCCCATGCATACTAAATCACAGGCTGTGAAGTGATGAGTGATGTGTGCTGAAAGCTGCACTATCTGGGGCGAAATGGGAAAGCTTTTGTTGTCAGCGCGTGCAAGCCAAACTTCAGAATCTGATGCCATTTGCTTCCATGCACACACATTTACATTTAAACAATACTTTGATGATGAGAGGATCTCATTTGACGTGTCACTTTAGCCCCATTCTTCCATTTATCTTTCTGAGAACTAATCAATCTTGCCTCTGTGGTGATTACTGAGTGTGTCTGTCTTTCACTGCTGCTGCTGCTGCTGGTGCTGCTGCCGACATGAGAGGAACCCACCAGAACAACCAATCACAGATGATGTGATTTCTGATTTTCCGTCTCGACTTTTTTCCCCCTCACAAAGAAACAGAAAATAAAAGGTTCTGAAGCGTGTAAAAAATGTGTGGCGGTGGCAAGTCATAATTGTATGCAGAAAAAGAATCTATTTCTCTGTCTCTCTCGACACCATTTTACAACTTTGGTTGCAGGAGCACAAAACATAGATTGGGTCTGACACTCTCAGTCATTTCACAAACAGAATCACACACAGATTTGCAACAATGCTCAGACACACAGACACACACTTACTTAAGCAGACAGTTGAGCACAGAAATGGATCTGTCTGGCTCTAATTGGCAGCACTGCGGTTGTTACAGCTCCTCTTCTCTGGTCAGCACGGGGACAACAATGGTTATAATGGCCACGGCATCGATGTCGGGCTAATTCACAAAGATGAGGTTATATATAGAGTTCTTCTTATGTTGTCTCCTGCTGAGAGTCCCCTATCTGTGGATAATGAGACGAGCCTTAATGGGGTCATTTCGCATTGACATGGTTTTGTCAGGCTTAATGAGCTGTAACATCAAAGGTGAGAAAGCGTCTTTTATGAGTGATCGTCAAAGCAAAATATGTATACATTTTGATGTTAACCATTCGGTTCATGCTACATTGCCTGGGTTTATCATACTTAGCTGATGATACTTTGTATTTGTCTACAGCAGGTTATGTTCTACACTGTGCTCTAATAGCCTGGATGAGGGAATTCTACATAAAGGGCAACTCCTTTTACAGAGAAAAAGCAAATAATTAGTTTTTCCCGTCACAATTACATTTTTCTGAGGCTCAACATAAAACAGTTATATGTGTAGACCTTTAAAAAACATCCTCTTGTCTTACACCACACAAGTGTTCATATCATTTTGTGGGATTACCTTGATTCTATGGACATGTATCTAGTCACATATACTCCTAAGTGAACAGCTATCTACTGCATTGGCTCACGTCATTGATCTGCTTCCCCAACCTTGCAGCTGATAGGAACAAAATAATGCTAAAGCTAACCGATGGATAATCAGCTCCAGCTTTTTCTGAAAGAACCGCTATTTACAGCTTACTAATGGCTAATAGTTCAGCATAGAGATGTGAAAGCAACTGAAACGGATATGAGCCATTCATTTGTTTGACTCCTGTTTTCAATGAGGTTTAACACGGAGAACAAATTGATACGCACCAAATACACTGAACAAAAATATAAACGCAACACTTTTGTTTTTGCTCCCATTTTTCATGAGATGAACTCAAAGATCTAAAACATTTTCTATATACACAAAATAACCATTTCTCTCAAATATTGTTCACAAATCTGAAAAGAACTGTGATAGTGAGCACTTCTCCTTTCCCTAGATAATCCATCCCACCTCACAGGTGTGGCATATCAAGATGCTGATTAGACAGCATGATTATTGAACAGGTGTGCCTTAGGCTGGCCACAATAAAAGGCCACTCTGAAACGTGCAGTTTTGCTTTATTGGGGGGGTCTGGAAACCCTAGGGTTAAACCCTAACCCTAACATGTCACCCATCTCCTTCGCATAGAGTTGATCAGGTTGTTGATTGTGGCCTGTGGAATGTTGGTCCACTCCTCTTCAATGGCTGTGCGAAGTTGCTGGATATTGGCAGGAACTGGAACACGCTGTCGTATACGCCGATCCAGAGCATCCTAAACATGCTCAATGGGTGACATGTTAGGGTTAGGGTTTTCGGACCCCCCAGACCCCCCCAACTAAAGCAAAACTAGCACGTTTCAGAGTGGCCTTTTATTGTGGCCAGCCTAAGGCACACCTGTGCAATAATCATGCTGTCTAATCAGCATCTTGATATGCCACACCTGTGAGGTGGGATGGATTATCTCGGCAAAGGAGAAGTGCTCACTNCTATCACAGATTTTTTCAGACTTTTTGTAAAACAATATTTGAGAGAAATGGTTAGTTATTTTGGTGTGTATATAGAAAATGTTTTTAGATTCTTGGAGCAAAAACAAAAGTGTTGACGTTTTATATTTTTGTTCAGTTCTGTGTGCTGTGTCAGTTCCTTTTTCCATAAAGCTGCAGCCCCAGGACAGCGTGGAGCCTCAGAGTTGAATAAAGTCACAAAGTAAATTCATTGTTGGTTTACAATACACAATTAAATATACATGGAGTGGGACAGATGAAACCTTCAGTTGATTACAATGCCAGCTGACATATTATCAGGAGCAATAAGAGAAATGAGAAAATAGAGAAAATAGCCAATGAGTTGTAGTGCGGATCCTTTTCAGCTTTTTTGTAAATGCACCTTTCCTGACAGCTCCTCAGTTGAGTGCGTGGGGTATATTGGAATTCTTTTCTTCCAGAGAGATGTCTCAAATGATGGATAAAGGGACTGAAAATCAACTTCCTCTAAGGGCTCTGCGTTTTTGTTTCGATCTGCCGAGACACAGTAAGGGGGCATTGACTTTCTCCTCATTAACTATAGGAGCGGCATATAGTTCTATGAAATTGCCTGCATATTCCTTTATGGTCCTAGAGCCCATGCAGAGCAGCCATTAAGCACGCTACTGACTCCCAGTGTATAAGGCAAACATCTACATCTTTCTTGACTGGTTGCATTGGGGGAAGGACGGAGGTTTCCCTTTGCCTCTTTAAGATGAAACCTAGTATAAGAAGACAACGTAATGTTTACTACCTTTAATCTCATCCCTACAACACATTCAAGGATAAACTACAGTACAAAACAAAAGTCATATAGTCTTAACGGGTCAAACTATTTTCTTATCAAAATATTCAATATTTGTGATTGTTAAATTTTTTTTTGGCCAAGTCATAGGATTTTTTTTGTTTTAGGAAATGTTTTATACTTAACTGCATATGTGTAAAAAAAAAGTAGATGAGCAATAATGATGATCCTGTGTCTTCAGAAAATGACTGACAGAATGCTCCAGGCCCCCCTAATAATATTTACTACATTAAAATAGACCCAACTATTTAGTTATACATTTCCTTATCAATTAAAACTCAATGTTTCCATATAACTGCTTTGGGGACAGGGGTTAAAAAAAACACTCATTAAAACAAA